ACCTTTATTCCACTGTTTATTCTGATTTGATTATTATACTAATTAAAAGCTATACAAACGATGACTGTCTTCCTGATTCAACACCAGAAGTTTGATCTAATAATATTCTTGAATAAGTGTTATTTGCACATACATTGACGCTCTAATTCGTATGTTTCAATTGATTTAATAACATGCTTTATTATACGTCTAATAATTGTTTTCTAGCTCTGTTATTAGATTCCATTGCATTGCTTAACAATATTGCTGAATAATGGTGAATACAGTCAGCAGAATAGCACTTATACCACTATGCGTCCATGTTTTAATTGCATACTTTGAAAATGCTTTACAAACGACGTATTCATTCATTATTCCACAACACTGTTTCAGGCTATGAACAAAACGAAACTGGTAGCATAATGGTTACCGTTTCCGCTTTCCAAGTAGAAGGTCGAGTGTTCAATTCCAACCTCAACCCTTTTTTATTTATTTTCTACGCCTAATTCATTTAAATCGTAATCATAGATCGTATCACTCACGACAACCAATTCATCGATCTTTAGGAAAAGAATATCCCAGCATCCTTTCCATTGAAATTAGAGAGGTGAAGAGGTAACATTGGTCTCATGTAAAACAACTATGAATGAATTAATCATTCCCACATCTCCTTGAATTAGCTAGAGATATGGCTGGGAGTGCTGATAGGTATTTAGATTCAAGCTTTTATTGATTATTTATCTGTCCATATGATGTATTCTAGAATAGCTCAGATGGCACGGCAAGCGGCTGGTGATCGGAAGGTCATGGTTCGAATCCCATGCAACGACATGTGTGTATATGTAAATTTCCTAGTATCTGTGTGGGTGGGTGCGTGCTTCGACAGAAATAATGACAACAACAATCAATAGTAACGAGAACAACCCTCCTCTGTCCCGTCCTTATTTTCGGATTAATTATCCCGTAGTTGAATAATCGTTTTAAAAATTTATAATAGTGCCTAATTAAACATTATTTCACATGAGAATCAAGCGTCTATATCAGCGTTGGAGAAAAGATCGCGATATTTCACGAAGTTCACCAAGGGAAAAGTTCGAGTGTCATAAGTGTCATAGTGAGTTTTGGAGAACTTTTCCAACACTGGTCTATACAGGGTGTTTGGTTCCGGGTTTTACATATTTTCAGGGTAGATAGGGCTCCTAAGGTTATGAAAAAATCCCCATGAAACATAGGGTCGGAAATGACTGCTAAGTGAGTTATTCAACATTTTATGTTTTTTTGAATTGCCAACTTTGGTTAGCTGTATTTTTTTAATCTTAATGTGGTTTTCTGATTTCAACATACCAAATGAAAGATTAAAGTCTAAGCTATCAGTGCTCTTTGAAAAAGAACTTGATTAAAGTTAATTATTATACATTAAAATTGAAAAGTATGTTGAAAGTACCAAAAAAACTGGTGAATTTTCATACATTTGAGTGTTTTTAAGTTGAAAATTTTCATTTCTGTTTATTTAGTTGTTCTACAAAACATTTTCCATGCTGTACCCTAGATTTGTGCCTTTGGTAGTAACCTTGTAGGCTTTATGGTTTCTTCGTAATTATTGATTTAAAACAGCCATAAAAACTTGTGACGTTTTCTTAAAATGCGCTATAGTCACCCTATTCGTTCGTACATTCGGCTGTTGCAGTGGACTACGCACATGAAAATTTGGTAGAATGTTATTGTAAATGTTTAGCTACATTCTTAACTTTTGATTACCGCACATCTCCTGCGCCGAAAGAAAACATTACTGCGGAGATGTTTCGCGGTATCGAATATTGCTCAGTCTCAGCAGAAAACACAACGAGAGACACCGAATTGGCGAATTCTGAGAGCGGAAGGGAGAGAAGTAGATAGTGGTCATAAGTCGATGTCCTTTTTATTTCAGAGTACAGGTTGTTTAGTTGTTGAAAAAGCACTTTTGATGTTTATGTTATTCAGTAAGAGTGGTTGGTTGTGTAGAAGCCATCAAATAAGTAATATATTCGCTTCTTTAGCTTTGTTTTGCACCTAAAAGTTGAAACTTGATTATTATTTGCATAGAAGTGATATTAGCGCTTATCGACTTCTTGCCGCAAGATTTCACCAATACAACGTTGCTAGTGTAGCCGTGTAAAATCGATTTGTTTATTATTTTCAACCACGAAATCATCTGTCAAAGTGTTTGACTTGACAGCGGTTTGTTTTTTTATTTTCAAACAGTAAAACGCTTGTATTACTGAAACTGCTCACTAATACTAACGGTGATGCAGAACTGTTATTCAGTACGACGGACAAATTGAATAATGGTTGTGAAAAAGTTGAGTAAACGCTCTCCAAAACTATTTTGCTAGCTTCTGCTTGTAGCTGTATCTGCAGTTTTGTTTCATCTAATTTACAGCAACACGCTGGAAAAGTTGGCTTATAAAGCTGAAGATGTTAGTTGGGCTGGTCATTGCCGACAGCTTGGAGCAGTGACACAATAACTCACTCAACTATCAAATATAAAATCACTGATCGTAAGACAAAACGGATGATCATGGCAAGCTAGCTTAATTTTAACAGTGAACCAACTTGTAAAAAGTTTATAGAATAACAGTTTTCGAAAGCGGAAATTAACAGTTGTAACGTTGTATTTAGTACAGATCCACTGAAATGTTTGAAGTTCCAGTAGGCGTACCGGAAGGTTACCCTCTCGCTTCCTGCCGGCTCGAGTAAGTCACCAACTCGTAGGCTCCCATGCGGATCTATTTTCTTTTTGCTGAAGTTACTGCTACCTAAAGCTACAACAAATTTAAACAGCACTTCTCACTTTCTCAGTGCTTAATATTACCTGTAAATGTTCTAACTTGTTCGACTCTTATCTTTGTTTGGACCCTACCCGAGGTAATCCTGCTTGAATATCGATTTATAAAATTCCTCTTTGATCCTTCAGATTCTTAAAGTAATCTGCTTGGAAGTCGATTTGGAGAAAATTGGCATGGCGCATAAACGCAAAAGAAAGGGGCAATCTCTTGATGCCTCTTCAGATGAAATTTATTTGAGCAATCAATTTGATATGCTCACGGATGATGAGGATAATCCATCATCCAGGCAAAATTCCATTAAACATTCCCGGCTTAATGCCAAGAAGGAAAAGGTCCCCCCTATTGTGATAACCACTTCCGATGTCCATGCTCTTCGCACGGAACTGTTGACCTTCGTTATACCCCGTACAGACTATGGTTTATATCATGTAATATAGAATGTCTTGCAATGAGCACTCATACATCTAGTTTTCACTGGAAATCCTATGTATGAGTGCTCATTGCAAGACAGCCTATATTACATGATATAAACCATAGTCTGTCCGGGGTATTAAATTCAAGCTTTCACTTCAAATTGACCGTCGGGGTGAATGCCAAAGGAGGTGACACATCTAAATGCTCAAAAAATCTCACACTAGCGAATCAATCTTCGAAAAATCTTCGTGCATCGTAGATAGAGTCGTGTATTGGCTGAAACCTTGGACGGATTCAAACGCCTTCTCAAGAAGCAACACATTTTTCACTTACGACACCAAAACTGGACGTCTGTCCAAGGTTGTCTTGAAAGGTCTGCCCAGTGGTGAATCCCTGGAACAAATCAAAGATGAATTGACTAAATTGCTTGGAGTTGATCCAGTCCAAGTAATCAAGATGAAAATGAAATCCCGTCCTGGCGATTTGCGCAACGAGAGTTCTAGTAATTTTGATTAAGTTCACTTCAAGTCTAGTGACCTTTACAACCTTAGAAAAAGTTTGTCTTATGCTTCATGTTCGACTGAACTGGAAACACTGGAGGAAATTGCCAAAACCTCACCCAGTGCCACAAGTGCCAGGCATGGAGTTACGGAACAAAAAATTGATACATGCCAGCTAAATGCATGGATTGTGGTGATTCCTATCACGCAAAGGACGACTGTTCTGTGAAGGAAGATCCTAAGAAATTTAAATGTTCAAAAACCACAAATCCAATTTTTGGGAATGTAAGACTCGTAAAGTGATTCTACAATCCCGTTCTAAGCGACAGGTAAGAAATGCTCCACGTTCCCGATCAGGTACAAATTCCTCTGCTGCTAACAAAGGTCAGCGAGGTACAAATTCTACATTCGTACCCATAGGTACAAACATGATCCCTGATTCAAATTCTTCATCTATTAACAATGTAAAGTGAGTAAATTGAACTACCTATGCTGCTATTGCAGCCGGTAGAAATCAAAATACTAGCCATCATAATTCTGACAGAAATTTCGATAATTTTGACTGCTCCTAAAATTGATTTTTTACAGAATTCATTAATTGACACGATTACTGATATGCTGAAAACTAGCTCCACGATTGATGCTATTATTCAAACTGGAGTAAAATTTGCGAATAATATCGCCATGACTTTGAAATCGAGCAAAGGATTTTAAATCATTAAATATTTTGAATTGGAATGCTCGATCTCGATAAATTAAGTAACCACTTGGACTGAGTACATCTTCTGCAACAAGTAAACTTTGATGTTCCTACAACGATAGCTTCTGTGGATTCCGAGGCACCGAACAGTCTTCGATGAAAATCATCCGTTACAAAGATTCATCAGAAGATTAAATGAGGTAAGCTATGAGTTCGACTATTATGTGACGAAAAATAAGTTTAAGCCGCTAGTTAGATAATAAGTCTAATTCAACTTTCGCATATCGCTTGTCTGCCTAAGAAGATTTGATACTTTCCGGTAAACTTTATTTGGAATGTGCCTATGTGCCTAAGTGCCTGGCATGTAAAAATGTGTGCGCAGCGGTCCCAACGATGTCAGAATCATCTCCTTAAGAAGGGTTAATCAGTTGAATTAAATTCAATCAAATATAAAATGCTAGAGGTTTCAACAAAGAAAACCACCTACAAAATGCATAAGCAACCGCTCATCTGTCATGATAAAATATGGCAACCCTTCATTTGAGTTGATTGGGTACTGATCAAGTTGTTTTAGATTAAAGCACTTTTGAAAATAACAACATTTTATTCAAATAACAGTAAATGCATCTGTTCCACTTCTTCGTCCGTAAAACATATCACTGGCATGATTGACAATTCATACGAATCGCACCCGTGTCGCTCTACTTCAAAATGCTCTCCACAATTTTAGACAGCTTCCGTGCCCCTTCTCCATTAGCTTCCCGATAGTACGGTAGCTGTTCCATCCGTCTCAGCCAGTCAAACGTTTTGGGAAATCTACAATGTAAATAAGCAACAAAACCAAATGACGCGTGAGCACAATTATGTAATCGAAAATCCACTTACCTTTCGCGACTGATCGGTAAAATAGCATCGAAGCTGGAAACGGACGAAACGCAACTCAGATCGGCCAGGGTCATCCGATCTCCGGTGTAGTAATTCGCTTGCAGTGTATCCTCCAGCAACTGAAGTCCTGTGTTGAAGTAGTCCACATTCACCGGATCCAGTTCCGTCTTCAGACCGCGAATCACCGGTGACTTTGTGAATTGAAATCGTCGATTAAGTTTAGTCCAAACAACAATGAAGAACACTCACGATCAACAGCTTCAATCGGCTGAACAGCACTCCGGAGTTGAAATGCAACCCGGCATTCACCTTAGCCCTCGCGAAGGGATCACTCGGATAGAGATCTTCACTGTTTGCGTAAACCGTTGTCAGGTAGACATTGATCGCTTGGCTGTCCCAAATGAACTTTCCATCGTCGTCGATCATTGGGATCGTGTGCTGAGGATTCTTGCTGAGGTACTCCGCTTTCAGAGTATCGTTCCCCAGCAGATCGATCGATATGACCTCGATGTCCAGATTAATCGCTTTCGCCGTAAGTTCCACAGATCGCCCAGGAGGGCTAATGGGATTGGTGAAAAGCTTAACGCGCTTGTTTGCAGCCATCCCCTGTGAGGCGACGGATCGCAGTCCAACGAGACGAGAGAAATTCGGCAATAATCTACTTGTTATCATTTTCACAATTTTAAAAGCAAACACGACTGATTAAGACGAAGTGCAAACATAGACTGTTTTTTTTTTCTTTATTTAGATTTTTTTATCAACCAGTGTTGCCAAATTTAGTTTCATTTATTTCTTTTTGTTTTCCTCCAACTTTTGCTGGAAGAAGTCCAGAGCTTCCGCAGCACGATCGGAATTGAATTCTTTGTAGTTGGGCATATTTTGCTCTAATCGTTGTAGATATGCAACCAATTTTGGACACTTGCTAGCATCGATCGGGAACAGCGCGTTCAGTGTGCACAGTGATGTGCTGCAGCTAATGTCGGCCAGTGTTAGAGTTTTTCCGACCAGGTAGTCCGATTGGAGTGTTGTTTCCAGCAGGTCGTACGCGCCATGGATGGCATTCAGCTTATCTTGAGGAACCTCCGGAAAACCTTGGTAGAAGATCGGTTCCAGAGTGCCACGAAGGCGGGCGAACAGAATGCCAGATTCAAAGTGCAGCAGTGCATTGATGCGTGCTTGCGTCACTAAGTCTTTAGGATACAGGGCGTCATCTTTCGCATATTTTGACACCAAGTAGACGATGATTGCGTGACTGTCGTACAATGGAACTCCATTGTCGACGATGGTTGGCACTGTATGTTGTGGATTTAACTGATTGCGGAAAGTAAGTTAGTGTTTAAACTACACCCAAGTGACTTAGATCATAAATTAACGAACCTTCAAAAATTCTGCTGTCATATGCTCCTTCTTGGACAGATCCATGAATTTAACATACAAATCCACACCAATCAGCTTTGCAGTGATTTCCACGGCTCTGCCGGCTGGAGTACGACGAGTGGTGTACAATGTAACGGGAGCCATCTTTCAATCTAAAAATACACCAATCTTTACAAACGGATAAAAAGCAACTGAAGACAATGTCTACGCTCTATCGATGGAAGGCACGAAAAAGAATGAATATTTTCTGTCGGACCGGTTTCTCCGTTGCCACCTACTCATGGTTGTAGTAGATGCGAAAGCATCCTAGTCTGTGTTTGAGCTGTGATATGGATGGCCATTAGGGTGAGTCAACTTTACAACCCCATGCAGGTCGTTCGATCTGTATTGAGCCAAATTTGATTGAGTTAACTCAAGATCTGAATTCGCGGGAGAACTTTAAAATTAGTATAGGAAAATGAAGGGTAGAATTCAAAAATTGCTCAATCTAGACCAAACCAGAGACTTAGATTGTGAATACTACACACCGAATCGTTAATTTTTATTGCGTTAGTAAGTTAAGTAAACTTGAATAAATTGGAAAAATTCGTAAATTTTCATTTAACTTTGTTTGATAAAAAAAATATAAGGTCAATGTCCCTAATGTCTTTAATTGTTATTAACTTATAACTTTAGGCCAAGTGCACCGCATCGACATATAAGCTCAGATGTACGCCTATAGGCGTGTGCGGAGAGCTAGGCCTGAAGTAATAAATTAATAACTTTTTACTCAGAAGTCGAATCGATATGCAGTCTTGGACAAAATTGCTCCGGATAGTTGTTCCAATCTAAATCTTATGCTAGTTCAAATTTTAGCAGCTTTTTTTAAATAGATGACAAGCAAATAAATAGTTTTGTTCCAGTTCACTATAAACTTTAAAGTTCTCCAGCGAATGCAGTTCATATCCAAATTCGTTAAAATTTGGTACAGTTAGCGATTTCGATACAGATTGAAAGCGCAGTAGGGAGCACAAGGGGTTGTGATCCACTACGCAAACTTGACCCACCCTAATGGCCATCGATACAAGCAATGAACATATACCTATAGCAAAAGCCGGCTTTCGGAATGATATGCAAGTTTGTTGTTATTGTAGGTACAAACAAACGGACGGTGGCGATTTCAGTTGCTTATCAAACGATCGAGTGGGTATTCATTTTGTTTATCAACTAAATGGCTGAAAGCTAATAATAAAAATAGTAAATTGATAGATATCGTTTGAAAATCCCCGGTCTGGAGCTCAGAATTTGTATCTCAATCCTTAGAAAGTTTTCGAGATCTCTGACAAAACCAAACGAAGCTCAAAAGCTAGGAATGTGAATCAAAATAGCGGACTTGGGAAATTTATCGAAATATACGACAGCTTCCAATAAGAAAAGCTTCCGAAAAAAGATTCAGTTTCTTTAAAAAAAATGATAACGTACACTAAGAGATCAGTAGAGTTAACAGAGATTCTGCGCCAAATAAATGTGTTGAAGATCTCAAACCTAGATAAATATAGTCCCGGCCATATACACATCTCAATATACCAGTATCAGACACGCTGATAAGACTGATTAAAATTTTACAATATTCGCTCCACAGTGCTCAATCGGTTTCAAATCGGGTCCTGATTAATTGGGTTCTTTAATTTTGAAAAATATATCGGTTTTTATAAAACATCTGAAAGAGCTTCGTTTTTCTGAGCACAGCGATATTTATTTCGAACACACACACTTTCATCTCACCCCTCGAAACATAGGAAAAACCAATAACCCCTCATTTTATCTGTCAAACTTTCATAGCGAATCAAAACAAACATTGCGCAGTACTAGAATTTCGACTAGAATGGGATGCGTTAATCGTTTGCTTGGGACCAGTAGGCCAACAATCAATACGAAACTAACGATTTTAAATTGGCTCACCACTTTAGTAGCCTATTGGTCCCAAGCAAACGATTAACGTACCCTATTCTAGTTGAAATTCTATTACTACACTATGTTTGTTTTGATTCGCTATGAAAGTTTGACAGATAACATCAGGGGTGTGTGGATTCATGCAGAACATGCAGGGGTGAGTGAAATAGCTTGGGACTGCTTGGGACCGTTGTTCTGGTACTGAGTGAGCCAAAAATAATAATGATTTTCTTCGGGACCCAGTGGTCTTAGAGTTACCTCTATGAATAGGCTAGTCAAGTAGTGAGCCGAATTAAAATCGTTAGTTTCGTATTGATTGTTGGTTTAAGTCTATTCTTTTTAAAGAAAAATATAAGAATCATGTATCTCAGAAAAAAAAAGTAGGCTGTGTGCGTGAACGGACGATACGTTTGCTTCTCCGTCGTGTTGGAAAATTTGGAAAACTGATGGTGTTTTTTATACTTGGCTGCTGATGCGCTTAAAAACTTTCATAGATGGACCAGGATTCAATTACCCGATTCTGGATCGCCACCAAAACCGGACTTCAAGCTGTTCTTCTTCATGAGCAACACAATTCCTGGTGCAGACGGCCAACCAAGTCCAGTAAAAGCACCGACAAACCGATATGAAACTTAAACTTAACTCTTGATCGAGAATCCATAATTTGTCCCAAATAGATTAGACACGAACGAACTCATAAATTTTGTACTCGTGTTCGTGGCTAGGATAAATATTTTCCGCGAACACGGCGGCAGATGTCAGTTTTGTGCTTTGATCAGAAATTTCTTTGTAATTTGTATGATCATTCGTGTCGGTTTGTCGGTGGTAAAAGATCGACCAGATAAATCTCAGCAAGTGTATCTACATCGACGATATCCAGAACCTAAAAGCATTAGTTATCAAGCCATCGAACCGACGACGACCCGATCGTGTTGCCGAGGGTGGACTAAATTCAAATGTCTTGAGGTGTTTCAAGTGCCAGAAGCTTGCAGCCAACAAAACGACAAATAAAAATAAGGAATTTTGTTTATATTGGAGGCATTTGTGAGATTCTTCCATAGACCACGGGTGAACTTTCATCTACTGAAAAAAAATTGACACATGTTCAGTGATGGAAAAGTTCATCAAAGTTCCCTATGACTCGCGAACTTTTCCCTTGGTGAACTTCGTGAAATATCGCGAACTTTTCCAACACTGCACATGTTACGTGAGTATTATTCATGTGTTCATTTTTAGTAAACAGGGCCCCGCTGTTGTGTCACTTTTTGTCGAGTGAGTGAACTCAAATCCATACGTGCATGCGTCTATTATACCATATTATACATAAAGGGTGTTACGATCAAAATTTGGTCAAACAAGAATTAAAAAAATCAAATTATTCATCCCTTTTAAGTTTAATTAGTATCAAATACAGAAAAAATATATTCAGCTAAACTTCCGGCTGACCAAATCCGAATTGCTGGGCCTTTCGTTCAACGGTTGCCATCAGATTCTGTACAGCCACGCCACTTTGCCTTAAACTGCTTCTCGTTTCCAACAGTGTTTTGGGTCTTCTTCAGGTTCCGCTTGACGATGGCCCAATATTTTTCGATTGGGCGGAGCTCTTGCGTGTTGGAAAGGCTCTTGTCCTTGGGCACCACCTGCACGTTGTAGGCGGCATACCACTCTATGGCCTTTTTCCGTAATGGCAGGATGCCAAATCCGACCAAAACAGCATGGAACAATCGTGCTACTTCAGGAAAGGCTGCAGACGTTTTTCCAGACACTTCCCTAATAAAAAAAATACCATAAACGAACTTTATCCCGGATAGGTAAACTATCTGACAAATGGTTTGGATGATACCCCGAACACGTCGTTAAGCTTTCTTTTATGGTTATTTTTATTAGGCTTGTTCACGTAAATTTCCTGGTTGACGGTGCCAGTTGCAATCAAAATGTCACTTTTCAAGCCACAGGTACAGATAGCCTGCCAAACCAGATATTTCTTAGCGAACATTGACAGTTTCATATGCTTGAAGATGTCTGCCACCTTTCCCCTTCCAGTTGCCGTATAAAACTCCTGCCCAGGAAGCTGTTTGAAGTCTGCCAAGTTCGGATTTTCACGATGCGCTTGCAAAATTTTGATGCGTTGCTCCTCTTGCTTGCAGTTATCAATGAAGAGTAAATCCGGAGAACTTTGAGATTAGGGCGTAATTGCTTTTGTAAACAAACACGTCAATCGCCAATTTCTCGCAAATTAAAGCTCAATCTAAAAAATTAACGGCACAAACAGGTAGAAAAATGATTCCTTTATCATTTAGTATGGTTTGTTCGCGATAATAAGTTTCAATTTACGATTAATCGGCGATAGACGTGTTTGTTTACAAAAGCAATTACGTCCAAATCTCAAAGTTCTCCGGAAATGTCAAAATCAAAATAGAGGCATCAGCCTGCATGCACACACCTACACAATGAGGGGTGTTCAGGTTTTTTTAAATGCTCGATTAAAATAAATGCGTCAAGTTTAAGTCGACCAATTTTTATCGTCACACTCTTTAGGAATCTTTTGGGAAAGAAAGTTTTCCGCAATAGAAGACCAGATCAAATAATTAACCTGCATGGACCAAATTTTTAAACATTACGTCCGTCAACTTACAACTTATTGTTCCTTGAGCGCTTCCACTGCTATTGAGTAAGAACTTTCAAAGCCTGTACCATGTTTGCATTAGTGAATATTATTGTGTGGTACGTACAATCATACTCTATGTCCAGGGAAATCAAAAAAATATTTTAATCCGAAAAATTCGTACATTGGACTGGGGATCATACTTAGCCGCCAACAAAATTGCGTTATAAAAGGTTTTCCAATAGGGATTTCCTCACTTTGCCAGTTCATTGCGGCCATATTGTTGAAGCTACAAGTGTCAAATTAGCTGTCATTCATTCAATGTGTCTTGTCAAATTACCATGTATTTATCTTTGGTTATAGCGTCCAACAGCACGTGCAAATGATAATATCAACAATCAATACGAAACTAACGATTTTAAAGTGGCTCATTACTTGACTAGCCTTTTGGTTCCAAGCAAACGATTAACGTACCATATTCTAGTCGAAATTCTAGTACTACGCAATGTTTGCTTTGATTCGCTATGAAAGTTTGACAGATAAAATGAGGGGTTATTGGTTTTTCCTATGTTTCGAGGGGTGAATCGATTATCTTGGGACCGAAGATAGAACCAGAGCTGAGCCAAAAAGTTGAGCACGTTATTTCGGGACCTTCTAGCATGGACCCAACGGGTAAGGACCTCCTTCACGCGATTTTTTTGGTTCACCTAGCTGTTTTTTTAGTGTACCTGGTGCACCCGGTACTAGAGCAAAAGACAGCAATTTGTACCAGAACAGGTGTCAAAAGGCCAGCAAAAGCGCCAGCAAAAAAAAGCGCGGTACCCGCTGCCGTGGCAGTCAGATTGAGGTGTGTCATATCCCTTAGCACGTTTCATTTTGTTTTGCCATTTTGAGATTTGAACTCGTGACTTTGGCGTGAGAGGCATGGATGCTAACAAAAAAAAAGCGGAACTAGTTAAAATAGTTAATTATCTAATCTAATTGTTCATTAGTTCCAGGGCCCTTGAACATCATATATTTGGATTGTCCCCAGGAGGATTGTCCGCAGGAGGATTGTTCGAAGAACGATTGTACCCAGGAAGATTGTTCGAATAAGGATTGTCCGCAGGAAGATTGTTCAAAGGAGGATTGTCCACAGGAATTTTGCTCGGGAGAAGGTTGTTCGAAGGATTGTTCGAAGGATTGTTCGGAGGAGGATTGTCCGCAAGAAGATTGTTCGGGAGAAGATTGTACGAAGGAGAATTGTCCGCAGGAAGATTGTTCGGAGGAGGATTGTTCGAAGGAGGATTATCAGCAGGATTGTCCGCAGCAATATTGTCCGCTACCGACGAGTCGAGGAGAAAGATTATCCGGAGGAAGAGGATTGTCCGCGGGAGGATTGTTCGAAAGAGGATTGTTCGAAGAAGGATTGTCCGCAGGAGAATTGTCCGCAGGAAGATTGTCGACAGGAAGATTGTTTGGAGGAGGATTGTCCGCAGGAGGATTGTTCAGAAGAAGATTGTCCACAGGACGATTGTCCGCAGGAAGATAGTTCGGAAGAGGATTGTCCGTAGGAGGATTGTCCACAGGAAGATTGTTCGAAAGAGGGTTGTCCGCAGAAGCATTGTTCGAAAGATGATTGTCCGCACGAAGATTATTTGGAGGAAGAGAATTGTCCGCAGCAGTGATGGAAAAGTTCATCAAAGTTCCCTATGACTCGCGAACTTTTCCCTTGGTGAACTTCGTGAAATATCGCGAACTTTTCCAACACTGGTCCGCAGGAAGATTGATCAGAGGAAGATTGTCCACTGGACGATTGTCCGCAGGAAGATAGTTCCAGGAAAGATCTTCAGAGACAATCAATGACGTTTAAGGAAAACGTCGAGGAACGACACTCATACTGATGCATGCTGCTTCAAAAAAGATATGGCAACACTGTGACGGCATGCGAGCGGAATTGAAAGAATTTTCGGAATAGACAGAAGGATCAACAGGGATATTCAGGATATACTGAACAATAGACAAAAAATCGAATAAGGATGTCTGGAGAAAAAAAGTTCTGACTGATGTTATGGATATATAAGCAGAATTTTATGGATAAATTTGATGGGGATACAGGATGCATCCGAATGTATCGTTCCCCCTGGAACATATAAAGAGCTTCAGAGTTCCGGATAATCTTCATCCTCCACGTACTCCTTGACTCGTCGGTAGCAGGCAATTCTCTTCAAACAATCCTCATGCGGACAATCCTCCTATGAACTATCTTCCCGCGGACAATCATCTGACTGGCGGGATCTGGTCCATTCGGTCCTCGTTACACAAGGATCGTACCTGGGTCCGCCTTGCATGATTTCTAGTTGGACCCAGCGATAAAACTGATTCCATTTTGATCAACATCAACAATGACATTAATCCTAGCTCTGAAGTTCAGGTTAGGAAAAAATTTAGGTTAAAACAAAACGTCAGCTATTGTTGGTAAAAAAAACCGACAGCATTGTTGACAGCATTCCCCCATGTACTCAAAAATATAACTACCCACAAATCTAAAAAACCTACTACTGCGTGCACTTCCATTCTATTACCGGGAACTATGATTTTTCGATAAATTCCTTCCACGCTATTGGTCCTGACCTTTGGGTCCATGCTTCTAGTCTTAGAGTTACCTCTATGATAATATTGTTTTATCAAAGTAAGTGTTCTTTGCGAGCAATGTTCCCAGCGCTTCTCCCATTTTGCGGTCGCAATAATCGTCCTATCGAGAGGAGTATTCGCAATGTGGTGAACAAATTCGAGGGAACTGGATCGGTGAACGTTCAACGGAACGCAAGGTCTGCCGAGAATATCGCCGCTGTAGGCAAAAGTGTGCAGGAAAACCCACGACCGTCAATTCCGCGCCGCGCACAAGAACTGGGCCTCTCGCAGGCTTCAAGCTTAACGATCATAGACACCGCCGTGTGTTCGCTGATTGGGTTTTGGAGCAGTTGGAAGCAGACCTCGATTTTGCCCGAAAAATCTTCTTCAGCGACAAGGCCCATTTCTGGATGAACGGCTATGTGAACAAGCAGAATTGTCGAATTTGGGATAAGGCCAATCCACACGAGATCCACCAAGTGGCAATACATCTCCAGAAAGTTACTGTTTGGTGTGATTTTTTGGCCGGACCCAAGTAACAATTTCCAGTTGAAGAAACGCTTTCGTTTTGATTTTGTTCAGCTGCATGTTGAATAATAATTGCACGATGTGTTCACCACAACTTTTATAAAACCCTTGTTTGGAGAACCTATACAACTGCAACACAAAGCTGTTGTCTAACGTATTCAGTAAAACGTTTACCCAAAATCAATTTCTTGTTGAAGAAACGCTTCCATTGTGATTTTATTCAACTGCATGCTGAATAATAACTGTACAATTTGTTTATTACAACTTCTGTAAAACTCTTGTTTACACTGGTTTGGAGAACCTGTTCAACTACAGCATTATATGTATACGCGGTATAGGAGTAGAAGCAACTTTTATGCAACGTTTATAGATACATATTTAAAGTCAAGCTTTATTGTTTTGGTGAAAGCTCTTATACAACGTTTGTAGACACTTCCTGACAGCTGCTTTGAAATTTAGTAGAGAGTAAACCTGAGAGGCGTTTGTTACACTCTTTTATGGCCCGATTTGGCATCTTACCACTACTTAACAATGACGAAGAAATGGTACGAGGAAAATAATGTCATTGTGGTACTTCGTGATATTCATCCTTCAAACTGTCCAGAGCTCCGACCGATCAAGACATTTTGGGCAATAATGAAAGCTGATTGTCGGAAAATGGGAGGAGAGTCAAAATCGGTTAAAAACTTCAAGCAAAAGTGGACAAAAGCTTACAAAACCAGAGGAGAGTAGCTTCTCCAAACCTTGATGGCAGGAGTCAAGGCAAATATCCGAAAGTTTGGGCGTGAGGGTGAAATTTAAATCTATTATTGCAAAAGTTTAAAGGAACATAGGGAAAATGGATGTAATGTCCCTAATTTGGTACCATACATAAATTCAGCAATCGAATAAATTTCAATAGCGATCAAAAATTGATCTAGATCATCTAGATAAAATTGATAAATAGTAGATTTTTAGCGATGGGTCCAACCTTAGATTCATTGGTCATTTCCTCTACTTGAGGAAAATAAATGTTGAGAAAAAGATTTGCTTGGATTTCCGTTAAACCTATAACGTTCGTGTGATGATACAAAATTTATTTCTGGACACGCTTTACTATTATTTATTTCATTACTATGGTTTCCAAGCCTTTGGGGATTTTCCTTATTAAAGAGTTGTTTAGATTTTTCTTCTTTTTTTTTCTTGGGTTATTAGTTGTATAGGGTCCGAGTGAACAAAAGATTTTATTATTCACTGTTAATTCCTTTTGCTGGTTTGCTCGGCCGCCAGTTTTCAAGTGAGATCGTTCACTTTCGCCTTGTAACCCAACGGTGATTGGCATAATGACCGTCGAATTGAAAAATGTAAAGCGAGTCTGATCGGTTTTCTCAATTCTTGAACAATCCATTTGTTTTCGAAATCTCTAAAATTGTGTTAGTTAAACTAGTTCATCGCTGACATTTCAAACCACTAAATTCCAGAATTAGTACACCAAACAAGACTCTCTGTGTTTTATCAGATTTGACCCTTTTTTGCGATTGTTCACATTCATTCCTAGCGTGGTGAGCAACATTCGGCACTAAGTTATCATTTCTACATTTTCTAAAGCAAATATGCATGACTTTGTCTTTATCAGTTAACGATACAAACACATAAACCTAGTGCCCTACAGCTTTTGCTTGATCAAAAAAGCTGCCTCAGAGCAGTCCGCTTTGAATTCCTTGTAGTAGGGCATGTTATCCTCCAATCTTTGCAGATATGCGACCAACTTCGGACACCTGTTGGCATCGATCGGGAACACACTGTGCAGCACGGTCAGCGAGGTACTGCAGCTGATGTCAGCCAGTGTTAGAGTGTTTCCAACCAGGTAGTCCGATTGGAGCGTTGCCTCCAGCAGATCGTACGCTCTATGGATCTCATTCAGCTTTTCGTGTGGAACTACTGAACTACCAAAGTAGAGGATGGGTTTCACGGTGCTACGAAGACGGGCATACAAAACACCGGATTCGAAGTGCAACAATGTATTTATGCGTGCTTGTATCATTAGGTCTTTCGGATATAGGTCGTCATCTTGCGCGTATTTTGACACCAAGTAGATCATTATCGCATGGCTGTCGTAAAGGGGCACTCCATTGTCGACGATTGTTGGAATCGTAAGTTGAGGGTTTAGCTAGAAATTAAGTTAGAACGTGATAAACTCAACTGATGAAAAATGAGACGACCAACCTTGGAAAATTCCTCCGTCATGTGTTCCAGCTTGATCAAATCTAACAGTTTTATCTTTAAATCGACACCAATTATCTTAGCGGTTATTTCAACGGCCCTGCCAGGCGGACTTCGACGGTTGGTATACAACGTAATATGGGACATCCTTCCAAAACACGCACGAACTTTCCAAACAGATGTTTGTGACTGAGCTCAACCAACTTCTATGCCCTAATTCTGATCAAGATAAAAGGCATGAATTCCGGAAACATAGAAACAAGCAAACAAGTAGGAAAGCATATTTTAGTGATACCTACTCGCACTTTAGAACATAACATATGTCAAAATCAACCACGCAACCGGAAAAAAAAACTAGCTACATAAGCGCAGAACAGTCCCTAATGTTAGAGTACGCACCACTAATAGAGTTTTTGATCTAATTTCCGTCCTACTATGCACAACCCGCGGTTTATTTACCTCTCTTTTTTAACGAGTTTGAACAAACAATTGAATGTTTCTATCAAAGATTACTTCTATATGCATTTACCTTTGCATACCGTTTACGGTTAGATTTGATAAAGAGTCACAAATTGTACAGAAATTGTTAAAAATCGGACATTGATTCTTGATTCCAGAACTCGGCCTACGAGTTTCAATTCCATCGTAAAGCTGATATCGCACTGTTTGCCCACACGTTAAATATTTTACTCGTTAAGTTTTTCCAAATAATGCTTGACAGTATATGGCATGTAGACCTGTTCATTTTAACAGAAATGTTTGGAATGGAACGGGTCAACCGAGATTACTGTTTGTCATGTTAATTTGCACTTCTGTGCAAATTTTCAGCAAAATCGGTGATGATTTAGAGGTGCTTCAAGTTAATTTTATGTTTTTAAGTTAATTTACGGCTTATAATATTTGTATCTCGAGACTGAAACAACGAAAACTGCTGTAACAACTTTCATAGCAAAGCTTAATGTATTATCTATCAACTTTGTGACCATAGGTTGACTATTCAAAGTGGTTTTATTGAAGGTTGACTTAGTTTCATGCTCGAAGATATCTTAAAAAGTGAAGAATTTTAAAGTATTTGCTCTACGAACTTTCCACCCATATGATATAAAAATGTGTATTCTACGGCATAATGTTCCTCAAACTGTTCTTAAAATTTCGTTCATGCATAGTTTTCGTGTATATTCCATAGATTGAGAGATCAAAATCAGAAAAG